TAGTTTGTATAAAGAGAATAATCGCTGGCAATGAAAGCCTTCATACAAACAAAGAATTAAATAAATTAGCTACTAATTATATACACTATGCAGACATTTATATGAATGTGCCATGCAACGAAAGACATAAATTCATACAGACTTATGTATGTACATATGCATACATATGTGTTCCTTTGCAATTGCACAGATTTGTACACTACGTACATAAATATTTATATAACATCTTTTGTATGCGAATTTACATTAATATTATATTTCTGCCATTTTCGTATAAAATACGCTCTTATATTTATTTATAAAAAAACAAACTACCTATCTGCTTTGGAATGCAAGCAAATCTATTATTTTCTTACCTTAATACCTTAAGTCTACAGACTTAAAATTTAAGTTACGGCAGAGTCTGTCTAAACTAGGGTTAAAAACAGACTTATTGTTTAGATTTGTCGCTAACAAATATTTAGAAGCTTTATAAAGAAGACTTAGATGAAAGTACAAATTTATCAAATCCATTTCCGATTCCTGGTCTCCTCTTTTGTGAAGCTACATATAAATATGCATATGCACAAAGGTTTATATTTATATACATAAATATGTACCTTCAAAATTATCTTACAAACATACAGCAGCGCTCGCCGCTGCAGGTAACACAGCGAAGCATCGCTTAGTAAAGAGGAATAAAACCATATAAAAAGTTCTGTTCAAATGGCATTAAATGGGAACATTATTATTAATTAATTAGTAAGAGCAGCACACCCGTTGAGTCAGCGCTTAGGGTGTCCGTGGTGGATATTCCACAATAACAAATGTCTGCCGGCACCATCGACATCGAAGTGTATTGAAATTGTTGCCACCATGGACATACGGTGCGTCAGTATTAACGTCTGTATGCGTGCCTGCGTGCGCACCAACGGTGCCAACAAACTTTGCTATTGCTTCCACCATATGGATACTACATATATACATACATACATAGATAGTAGCAACATCAATAACAACGTTCACCCACTCTCAGTTTCCTTTTAGCCATGACTCTATAGCATTATCGTCATTATCAACGCATTCGTTAGCATCGGCGACGCCAGCTAAAGACCTAAACCACACCGTAGTGTCGCCTCCTCTTCGAAATGTATATGTGCATACTTATGTATGCTTGCGGCTTCGAGGTTAGCGATGGGGGTGAGTTTATTCGCTTGCGCAAATTTTCGCAGTGACGATGACATGACATTTGCTGTTTTCCCTTTCAAACTTGCTGCTAATCATGTTTACATTACACGCTTACTAGCTATGCGCCATACGGTGGACTGCAAGTAGCAGTCAACCATCAAACACCCACCCTCATCCAGACAGTAGCGTGCGACGTCAACACGCTGCTGCACTTAGTCTAGGTGGCGCCGGCATGCTTCAGTATTGTTTATATTTTTGTGGCTTTGGAAATTTTACACTTTTTTTATACAATAATTTTCGGTGTTCACTTACCACTACGACTGATTTCGTTGCCTTGGTTTGTTCTATTCAGCAGCGTTTGTTGGCAGGAAACGTTCGTAATGTAGGTTTGCGTCGTGGCTTTATTCATTTGCCTTGTCGCCAGTCGGTAGACGCCACCAACCAATTTTTCCGCTCTTGGTTTCGCAACGGCTCGCAGCACACGAAATTCAATTGCTCAACTTGTATTCCGCTCAATTATTTACTTTTCTATACAATTCAATTTGGGTTTATATACTACCATAAATACATACAAACTTACGATATATATGCCCTCTGTCTGCTATGTTCAGTTGTCTGTTGATTGGTGAGTACGCGGCTGGTGAGCGAGCAATGGGAATGGTGTCAGTGCTTCATTGTCCTTAGTATTGCATTCGCCCTGAAAGTCACTCCATTTTGCTTAGCTGCTTAGCGCCCATGCGCTGCGGAAGCCAATAGAGCAAATTCGATGAAGAACTTTATGCCGTGAGAATTCTAAAAATAGAAAAACTACTGGGGAAATTTATATGAAAAATGTTACAAGTCCGCGTTTGTACTACGTATACATATATTTATGTACATAGAATGTTCAAATAATGTACATATGTATGTATTACAGGTATACGCCGCCGAGCCACGCCGCCGCCAATTTCGATTTTGGACGAAAGCGTTTATTACAGTTAAATTAGGGTCGAATACTGGTAATCTAACGATTTTTTCCGCAGTAGACAATTCTTTTCAATACTACAACAATACTACTTTTTTATACACATACTACAACAAAAAGAAAGTTATAACACATCAAAAACTTTAACGCCAATATCTCAGAAAGCAGTTTTAATAGAAGTGGCCTCATTGCATCTATCTTTTCAATTATTGGAGATAAAACAACCCTATAAACATTTTGGCGAACGTTCGAAAATTACCTTCGATATCCAATATGAATATCGAACTGAGAACGAAATCATAACCAACCTTAGTTTTCCAACGTTCATAGTGAATTGGAAATACATTCGAGATGGGTTCGAAAAAATGTGAAAACCATTGTAACAAGAGAGGAAGTGAAATCCAGCTCATTTTCGAATGGAAATATAATACAATCACTCTCTCTCATTAAAATTTTAATTCGATAATGGGCTGTATTTCGAATTCATAACGAAGGAAAAATTCATTCACGCAGGTTCCATTAGTAGCCCCATGCTCTTTGGAATCTATCTTATGGGCAGTAGCGCCGGCGTCGCCGCCGCCGCAAAACCTGTCGGCGTAAACCTCTAGTATGTATATATGTACCTATGCGCATAAGCGCATTCATACATAAATAAATACAAATTTACATATGCCGATTATACTACGATAAGTATGTATGTATGTACATATATATTTATAAATGCTATGCATGGTGAGTATACGTTTCGTACAAAACTCATACGCCCTGTTATTCGCTTAGTCTTTCATACTATAAATCGTTCCTTCGTTCGTTCGATCGCATTGCCACGCGTCCAGAAAGAATTACTGAACTCTACAAGGTTGTTCACGCTGACTCGTTACCATGCTGACTACTTGTCTGACAGCCCCTATTATTTGTGCATGTGTGCGATTTATTTAACTGCACTGTGTGCTTGCACGAATATACCATTTGCTATCGCTGATTGCATTTCTACCGCATGGCAATTTAAATTCATTGGAGTGTGAGTAGCACACTTCCATAGAAAGGCGCCTCTGGAAATTTGTTTGGCCAAATTTTACATACGATTGTATTTTTTTTTTTGTTATTAACTAATTTTTGTTATTTCTTTTCTGATGGTTCTAGGGGTAGTGACATTAGTCATGCAAAGGCAAATATTAGTTATACAAAAATATGCTGGTATATAATTTTGTAGTTTTCTTTGTGTATGCTATTGAGTGTGTACTAAAATTTTCATTTTCGACTCCTAAGTATTTAATTAAGTTTGATTTATTATTATTTAAATTATATAAAATTTTTATCATTTGGATTAAAGCCTATTCTTTTGCAAAAAAAATGCAAGCTACTAAGGAGAAAATCGAAGGATTAATAAGCAATTTGTGAACAGTCAAATGAAAGTGTGCAATAATTTTTTGTATGAAATAGTGGAGGGAAATAATGTTACTCATACGCCACATCGTACATGGCAGTACTCGTACATGGCGTATGAGTAACATTTTCCATGTAGAAGTTTATGTTTAGGTGTTTTGGCGTTTTTGTGTAATTTCAAAACTTGAGATTTTCCTTACAGTGTGTTTTGATTTAAAAGCTCGCCAACCGGAATTTTGGGCCAGATTTTTCGCAGACAACATTATGTATATCCTTGGATTCGCAAGCCTTTTTTATTTTATTTTTATTTTGGTACAAGATGTGTGAAGATTGTGCCTTATTCGGATCTTCTACTATATTTGAAGCAAGTCCTCAAGGATTATTTGTTATTGAGATTTTAAAATTTTTCCAGTGATAAAACCGCTTCTTTTACAACTTCTAAAGCAAGCTCTTTTAGTAAAAGAAGGCTCTACCGCCAATTTTCTGTTGTGTTTCGGACGATTATCTGATTGAATGGCAAATATGTATTACTATTCTTATTATCACACTTTTATCAAGTATTTCAACATAATTTTGGTGCTTAGGTTGTTTTTTAAATAATGGCGTTGAAGTCATTTCTAGGCTTTCTACATGGTATAAAAGCGACATGAGTACGCGATTGCTCCCCCCTAGATGAACCAGAGAGACAACCTATCCTAACACATTTCAACAGCAATGGCAAAAAACTTGGTTTTCTAAAATTTACTACCAGACAAAAACAACGCCCACATACATACATAAGTATACAAGCATGTGTGCGATGCACTTGTGCAAACAGACCCAACAATAAGTTGATGTGTGCGCTTGATGCCCTTCAAAGTTTAGAAGATATCGGTACTTTGAATAATGAAAATATCCATTAGATATCTTTCTCCTATATCGCCATCAACTCCTCATCTCCGCTGACAAACTGGCCGTCACATTCCGATATTACGCGCCATTGGTATGTTTATCTCTTACAGAAATCCACTTCCTTCTACCGCAAGCACACATAGCAATTCAACATGACATTGTCCAACCATAACATAAAATACTAACGTACAATACAACCTTACAACAACAGCAATTAAATGACAGCAACGTAAGCATTGTTGACATTTTTTACCCATTTCTAATGCCAAAAAGAAATGCCTTCATCGGTTCAAGTCGGAGTGATGGAGGGTCGAGTGCCCCGAATACTACTAAATACAGAAAGAAAGCATTGAACAGCAACAACGATCAACCAGCAGTCAGTCGGAGGGACTACACAACAAACAGCATGACTAAGTGACAACAATAGACGCCATCATGTCCAAGAGCATACAGAGTGTATATACCGCATTTTATTTTTTCCTGACTTATGCTCCATATGTCTTTAGGGTGAGTCGGGTGGTTTAGAGTTCGGTTATTGGTTGGCTGCTTGGCTGCTTGGCTGCTTTTGACTGCAAGCCGTGCATGCTTGTCAGAGCGAATAGTACAAAGGACGAATTCAGTTGCGGATAGAGCTTCTTCGTGTATGGAAATGCTATTTAGCAAAATAGTGAAAAATTATTTTGGACAAAAAAATAAAATAAATTCTTTGTTGTATTTTGGCAGTGATAAATGATATCCGTTTGCTTTTAAGGAGAAAAAAAATTATTGAAATTCGATTAAGTGCGAATATAAAATAATAATAAAACAGCGAAAATAGTCAATGCTGAAAGTGTTAATTAATGTGGAAAATGTTGAGAGGCCAGCTAAGTTCTTGTGCTAAGCCAATACACTTACGGACTGAATCGTTGTGTGCCATCAAAGGACGAGTATGTTTATAGAGCGTGAATGTGTATAAAAATAGCAAATATTTTATTTATGAGTGCTTGAATGATTTACAAGTCAGCTGCATGGGTTCTTGAGTGAATTGGGTACAATTGGCATGGCATTGCAGCGTTTATAATTTACATAAATAAAATGATTAAATGATAAAATCTAACAACCGGAGTTTTCGTAAAGCTATCGAAGAACTATACAGATTTCACTTGGAACGCGATAACACAGTAGGGACGCTAAAATCACAAAAAACGCCGAGACATGTAGATTGCGGATCGGTACACAATTTTTCTAGATTCGGTACTTTTCCAAATTAAAAAAAAATTACTTACCATCCACTTGAAAAAAAAATCTACCAATAACTTTTTTTAGTTATGTTAATAAGAATTAAAACTGTTTTAAGAAACTTTTTATTTAACTATTTATACGGTATTTGAAATCATATTAATAGCATGTTCCTGTGTTCGTTTACGCTAATCTCCGAAACCGCTTAACCGATTTCAATGAAATTTTGTGGGTGTGTATTGTTGGTTCCAACTTAAAAGATAGGATAGTTTTGAACCCGAGAAAAAATATATTGTTTTTTTTTATCGAAATTTTGTCTATGCTTCTCGCAACGTTCTTAAAAATCTCGTGTCGCTATGTTCGTTTACGCTAACTACAAACTGTCCATATCCGAAGCGACAGATTTGCAATGTTATTCGCGGCTACGCTTCATATGTATGTTTATGTTGCGTAGAAATAGCAACAAAATAATGTAGTATGTATTTATACATACATATGTATAAACATTTGCGTATCAACAGAAACAAAAAAATTACCGTTTCAACACCATCCAATGTTATCCATTCCTCTGGCTGATGAGATCGTTTTTTTTTCAAACGTAGTGAACAGTAACAACAATATTTTGTAAATTTCGATATCAAATGAAATGTAAGAAACAATATGGCTCTTCACACCGAGCTTTGGTGTGAAGACCCATAATATCTACGATGCATGTAACCTGCCTATATATCTGCGTGTAGCAGGACAACGTCTGCCCGGGCTTACTAGTACACTAAAATTAAAATTGTAGCAGGCCGATGTCTGTACATTATAGATATTAAAGCAAAAATGAATATGGATGGTCTTTATTAGGCCGAGGCCAGGCAATAAGCGACAAAGCGGTGAGCGGCTGAGCCGCTCAAAATTAAAACATATTAAATACTATTGAAGTGGCCATGCACTGGGCGGCATTTCTGAGCGGCTGAGCGGCATTTTTGTATGGCGCCGCTTTGCCGCTTATTACGTGGACTCGACCTTAGACCAAAAGAAGCCAAATCAACAATTTTTAGAATTTTTGTCTGTCTGTCTGTCTGTGTTTGTACGCGCATCACTCGAAAACTAATGCATGCCCCTGTTTGAAAATTGCAGTTTCAGTAAATTGATAAGATATAGTAAATATTGCAGTACTGCTGTCAAAAGAAAGAGGTTTAAGAAGGTTTACAGCCGAAAATATTTTTGTGGAGGTTGCCACATGTTTGGTAGTTTTAATTTAATTGATAACATAAATTAAATATGTATAGCAATATGGGTAGGAAAATTTACTGACGAAAATATTTCTGAGGAGGTTGCCACCTTTGAATTGATGAAGTAAATTGTAAAGGGTATCAAACAACACAAAAATACTTTTAAGGCGGAGTGAAGCACGCCGTTGCTAGTTATAATATAAAGATAACTACGAAAACTAAAGGGGGCACGAAAAGTTTTAGTTGTTTTTCAGACAAAATAATTCAACAAAAAACCTAACAACAATTTACGAAATTGGCAACCCTGATTCAAACTTTAACTTGGAAAATTTTGGCTAGGTTTGGCTAATATGCCTTTACTAAGGAATAAAAGTATTGTATCTTGTGAGCATACGCCACCACATTTTGTGTTGCGATTTTCTGTTATTTCTGAGAATCGGCAATTTTCGTTGGTGGTGTTGACAGTGGCAGTAAAAACTATTTACCGTTTGGAGGGGAGAAATCAATAAACACGGGAAACGAAAATCTGTTTTTCCATTTTTGATTTGTTGCAAACATGTGAAATTAGCATAATTTTGCAACAAATTTTCAAAATTACTATAACTATAACTATGTTGTTCTTTCATACAATTATTTAAAAAAGAAAAAACTACATTCAAACTTTTTTAATATAACCACAAGTTAAAAAGTAACCCATTTGGATCCCTCGGTCGTCAAGGGTTAAAATATTTTTTTTAGGTGTGCAAATCAATAAAAAAACTAAGTTTTTAATCACATCTACTTATGGGGCATTCCAACATTACGGCTGGGACATTTTAACTCGTTTTTGCTCAAACTTTAAGTAATTTCTCTTTAACCATTAATTTGGCAAAGTTTCAATCTGATAAAGTATAAGTCTTAATTATATGATTGACACAGAAAATTTATATTTTCCAAGAGTTTAGATATAAAAGAGACTGGTGCTTTTGCTTGACGCATTTTTGAACGCACCCTCTGTATCGGTAACAATTTTATTTTTATTTTTTTTACTGACAAATTAAAAATGTTTCATATATGTACATTAGACTGCATCACTCCCCATACAAAAAAAATCGGTACTATTTTTCCATTGGAATTATAAAATCTATAATATTTTAAGATGTCCACCAAAATATTTCGAAAAAATTTTAAGATTTAAGTGAGCTGGACCAATTTCAAAATACCTCCAAAAATGGAGTTTTTTTATGAATAAAAATAGTTTCTTAAAATTTTTTTTTAAAAAATCCCCTCAAATGACAAAACGGTTTAAGCTTAAAAAATTTGCATAAAAATATTTAAAAAAAAATTTGAACGGAATCGTAGTGATGAGATTTTTGATGCTGTTTTTTAACTTTTTTCAAAGATTGGTATAAGAAAAACTTGAATAACTGAGCCTAAACTCTTCTGATTTAGACTTAAGATGTGTCGGTGTAAAGGTATTTTATTTCTTTGCTAATAAACTCATTCAGGGGATGAAAGAGAAAGGTAGGATGAACGAACGTCATTCAAAGTTGAATTAAGATGTGTTGGTATTTGAAAAAATAAATAAATTAGGACACGAATGATTTTTTTTGGACAGAAATGAAAACAGTGTGAAAATACCTTTCTACTGAGATCCCATAAGTCAAAATCAGAATAGTTTTGGCCCAGTTATTCAAGTTTTTTTGTAAATCAAGTATATCAAGTAAAGTATAAAAAAAAGCATCAAAAATCTCATTCTTACGATTCCGTTGAAAAGATTTTTAAATATTTTTATGCAGATTTTTTAAGCTTAATCTGTTTTGTCAATTGAGGGGACTTCTTTCAAAAAGTTTTTTACGAAACTATTTTTATTCATAAAAAACTCCATTTTAGGAGGTATTTTCGAATCGGTCCAGCTCACTTAAATCTTAATATTTTTCCCAAATATTTTGGTGAACGTCTTAGAATATAATAAATTTTGTAATCCCGGCGGAAAAACCGCAACTTTTTTTGGTGATGCAGTCTAATGTCCATATGTATTTTTCCGTAAAAAAAAAAAACTGTGACAAGAATTTGTCACTGATACAGAATAGAGCCGTAAAGTTCCGGTCAATTTTTAAACCCTTTTCGCATTCTGTGTACTCACGTAACCGGTAAATTTTGTTACCACTTCATAAGCTGGTAACAAAGTATTCCCCCTTGAAATATGCAATGTAATAATTTTCAGAATTTTTCACAGCTGAATTGCTGAATATTTTAACTGCATTATCAACGTTCCTAGAATTGCGATGACAAGAACTGGTAGCATTTTTTGGTAATAAAATTTTCCGGTTACAAAACTTTCTGTAACGTGCAGAAAAGACTCGTTAATCTTTTTGTTAAGTTTTTGGGAAGTGGTAACAGTCTATTCTGCACGTTACTGAAGATTTTGTAAATGTTACCAGTTCTTTTAACCGCGATTCTAGGTACGTTTGTAATGCAGTTAAAAGATTCAGCAATTCAGCTGTGAAAAATTCTGAAAATTATGACATTGCATATTTCAAGGGGCAATACTTTGTTGCCAGCTTAATTATTGTACCATGTCGAATTCCCTACTACTCACCACTCAAATCTTAACTGTCCCTCATTTTATTAATTAACTTCCCCTTCTATAGATTCCACAGCACTTTAATCTTCATCGCTTTCATTATTCCTGTTAAATTACTCATACATACGTCATGTCTGCACACCTAATAGACAACTACTAGCATACAAACATTCGTACACACCTACATATATGTAGTTATGTATACTTTTCTGTAGGTATTTCCCATTGAATGCCATTTCCTGAGTCCTTCGTCCAACTTATCGTCGTTCAAGTTCAATGCAATATCAATTGAAAGTTTTACAACACTATAAATAATTAAATGGATCCATTGATTTTACTACAGCGATGTACTTGCTCGTCTAATCGAATGGCGGCCAACTGCCCATTTTGTAGATATGTAAGTAAGTAGAATGGTTTGACATGTCAATCAAGCTAAACCTCTATCTTCAATTTGCCTTTTAAACTTAGACTTTAGTAGTGTTTTTTTTTTGTTCGAAGACGTCCTTCGTGCCTTAACTGCTGTTAATAGCTATTTGCTCGCATACAACTATGCATTTGAATATTTTATATAATAGGTATGTTTAGAGTAAGTCCTTTACTCCGTGTGCGTACTATGTATGTATGTATGTATGTACATATGTACATTAAGACCAAAGTAGATATCGTGTCCATTATGTGAACATTGACTCTTCTACTCTGCTATGCAATGTGATGTCATATCGTTGCACTTGATGGGCGTAGTGAGTTTGGGCGTGTTTTGATTTGTCGTTTACTGGGAGCTCAAGCTGATCTAACGCAAACTGCAAACAACAGACTAGCTGAGGTTGAAATTAAAATTTTAGACAGGTCAATTCAATTGGTATGCTATAGGTATGTTTTAAATTCTTAATATTTGATGGCATATAATGTTTCTCGAGTTAAGGAATTCGCAATGCTTATGTATTAATGTACGTATGATTTGAGCATGATTCGATAATAAAAGGTTTGCTCAGAAAAAAGTTTTCTCAATCCCTCTTGACAAAATCGGCTCCCTTAGCAAGGCACTTTGTGTGGATTCGTGTGTGTGTGCAAAGATTTTCTACGGGAGTTAAGCGAGTGTCAGAACTCGAATGTCACTAATGAACAAACCTTTAATTATTGAATCATGTGATTTGAGGTGTTTGTGTGTGTTGTTTGTTGCACATTTTCCGTATAATATGCTTAGTAAGTGGTCTTTCTATCGATGTAATTAATAAATGTGTTTTTATTTTGCTCTAGAAATCAACAAGATGTCCGAGTATTGGCTTATTTCAGCCCCTGGCGATAAAACATGCCAGCAAACGTTCGACACCATGAACAATCTCACCAGCAAACAAAATAATCTATGCAACAATTATAAGTTTCATATACCCGACTTGAAGGTAAATTAAAAACAAACAAATTTTCGAATTTAATCTCTTCTCCTTCCAATATTTAATTAGTACTATTTGAAAAGTCTGTCAGCAAGGTAATGCCGGATATTTCTCAATTACTTATCTGCCTAGTAGAAGCGTGGCCGAGATAACTAGAAAAAGTATCTGCTTCATTCGATTCAAAAAGAGTGTCAGGAGGTTGTCTACCACTCTAATCCTGACCATTGCAACATATGTTTATAGCTTATGTTAAACCACTTATGAAATTGCGAAAGTCCGAGAGTTTCACTTTCCTTAAAGACCTGTTATTCGATTCCTTGCGAATTCATATTATTTCCTTTTGCTCCATAGGCCATTTGTTAAGTTCGTAAGGAAATATTTCCTGCACTGCTTTGCATTTTCCGGTGCTTGGCCATCTACTGCCTACAAAGCAAATTATGGAGTTATCAACGAAGATCAGAGTTGGGTCGTAATGATTCCTTTAGGATTTAATTACTTTCAATTATGAAGAATTGGAATTAGAAATCAATTCCTTCAGTCCACCGCAAAAGAATTCCATAGTTACATTTTGAATTCCTTAGAACTAGTTTAAAAAGTATTTTTTTGTTTTACTTCATTACAAGGAATTGTGTTATGTAATTATAATTAATTGTGCGCTAGTAATGTAATTGTTTTTCCAAGGTTTTTAGCTCTTTTTACCATACCGTGGTTAACATGTGCCGACAATCCCCAGTTTTCGCCAAAACTCCCTTTTGTCGGTATACAGTGGCGGACATTTCATTATGTACCAAGTTCAATTTAGTATCCAGCTCTCAAGAAATATTTTCATACTCTCCGATTTTTTGCCGAGTTTTCCAAAATGAAATGCACTGTGTACACTTCGACTCTTTTACGAAATAACGTAAGAAAACGGATAATATTCTTTAAGAAATTGTTTTTTCCTGCAAATTTTGTTTTTCTTGAGAGCTGTAGACTAAACTATTTATTAACATAGTAAAATTTCGAGAAACCAAGCATTTTTCCTCTTCGTCATTACATTTGCATTCTCTTTCAGGTGGGTACACTCGATCAATTGGTCGGTCTCTCCGATGATTTGGGTAAATTAGATACTTACGTGGAGCAAATTACGCGCAAAGTTGCCGCCTATTTGGGTGAGGTGCTCGAGGATCAACGCGATAAGTTGCACGAAAATCTACTCGCCAACAACAGTAAGTTCATATGCAATTACATACATACATGCATTTATTTTTATTACGTTTATAAATATTAACTATGTAGTTTGTAAATTTCGTTGGATTTTTTACTTTATAACTAAAAAACAAAGAAGAAGTTATTTACTTTTGACAGAACACGTTATTGTAGAAAATGCATATAAGACAAGAAAACAAAGCACGCGGGCAAACTTTACTTGTGGGCTGCAATTGAAAAAAAATAAAATAAATAAATGTATAAAGAAATCAAAAATATTAAAGGAATACTGATTCCAACACAATTTCTTTTAGTAGTGCTCTTTTGGAATGTTGATTGCAATGCTAAATTAATAGTTTTTTTTATAACAAAACAAAAAAATTAAAAACCAATAAATTCTAAAAATAAAATTAACAAAAAAAAAAAATCAAAGAGCGCAATAACAAAGAGTTAACTTGTGCATTTTTTGCAGACCCCCTAAAATGGAATGAAATATTTTTACCCCTTTTCGTTTGGAATGTCCCAATACACTCCCACTTAGAGTATAACTATTTTGAAATTAATGAATTGAAATTTAGACTATTTACGAAATTCCTATAAAATCGTTGAGTTTGACGTACGGATTTAAAAACTAATCGATTTTCAGCTGGAAACATGCGGTGTCTTTTTGACTAACGAAATTAATACTCCTGTAAATTTCCTCTTTTCCTTCTTGATATTGTTTTTAATACGATTCAACTATTTAATTTTATATATTTTCCTCCTTTGACTCTAATTTTTCGTTATTACTTTTTTCTTGTTTTTTTTTTTTTGTTTGCTTTTTTAATCCTTGTGTTTATTTGTGTTAGTTTTCCTGCGATTTTGCCTCTATATTATTTAGTTCATGCGCACAATCATCACATTGCAGTCTGGCAACACTATGTGCCACTTTGTTGAGCTGAGCTTTTTTTGGAATTTATTTTTTTAGCAACACACTTTGAAAAATAAATACAAAATTAAGAGGAATTTTTGTGTTGCTGTTTTTGTATGCCTTATTTCAAAGTAATACGGTCCTACATGCATACATAGGTACTTACATTTAAACAAACATACTAACAATTACATAGTATATTCACGAAACAAGAATTAACCTGTACAGCTACACAAGCAAACATATGTACATACATACATACATACATATAAACATAACACATAAATGGTACATATATATTTATAAATAGAATTGAGATTATATGTTGTTATTTGGTCCTTTCTAGAGGCATTGCGCAAGTTGAATCCGTGCCATAGTCTTTGTGCAAACTACTACTCACACTAATAGAAAGATGATGTGTGATTCGAGTAATTCCATTTTGTTTGTAATTCGCATTTTGGCTTCCATGATGACTAATCAAAAAGTTTGTATGTACCACATTCTATATACTGGTTGGTGCATAAATTTTGATGTTTTGTTTTTGGTCTTACATAAAATATGGAGGGGTTTTCAATGTCCCACCGGTCAAATTCATTCAAATAAGAGTTAAAAAGAACTTGGAATTTATTTAGTAATTTTTAAAGGAATTTTATACGTTAGTTATTTATCTATGTGGACAAATTTATTCCCACTTCTGAATAAGTTCTGACGACATAGTAACTCACAGTTCATCACATTATGAAGTCAAATGTCCCACCAGTCGCGATGGAATGCCACAGAAAAATCACATTTTTGCTTTAAATGCCCTACACACGCATTGATTTATCGTCCAACCAGTTGACCAACCTACTTAGCGAAATTCCCTACAAACGCACCAACCAATTGACTGATCTTATTTGAGTGAGAGTTTTTGAAGTGTGAACAACACACAGCACCGGCAAATTTTTAAGCTATGCTAGGAATGCTTCTCATTTTTATGTATTTGTTATTGCTATCGCCCCAGTTTTCACTAATTATACGCATTTTCACTAGCGAAGCGAACCGAAAAATACATGTTGATGTTAATGCACGCCTAAAAAAAAAGAAATCGTATATTAGGTTGGCAACTTGTCTACACACAAAGCAACAAGTTGACCAATCTGCCTCAAAAATCAAAAAAATTTGATTTTTATCCAACCTGACGAACAACTTGACGAAGGTTTGCCAACTTGCCTACACACGGCTTATTTACCACCAACTTCTAGCGGTTGGCCAACTGGTTGACCGATAAATCGATCCGTGTGTAGGGCCTTTAAAACTTGAAAATCTGAAAAACTTAAGACGAAAGTATTAATCAAGGCCAATCAATATAAGGTGATAACAGGGCATGGTACAATTATTCATAGGTATTGTCTTCCCAGAGAGTTTTGCTTCACATCGAAATTCTTGCTCCCTGATTTTAATTTTGACGTAGTTCAATGTTGATTCTTTTATTTTTAGTTGGATTTGCTTATTGTTTTCGCTCAATTTAATTTTTATAGTTCTTCAAAACAAAAGAAAAAAACGTTTGAAATAAAGTGAGCAATAAAAAATTTGAATTTCTTATTTAGTTGAAATGTTTGTTCTTCGGCATTTGCAAATTTAATTAGTTATCTGCAAGAAGGTTTCTTTAAAAAAATACGTGTACATACATATATGGTATATGGGGCATGGAAATATTCCTTTTTCCTTGCAGTAAACCTTTTCGTGTGGGCAACAATGATGTTTTTCAAATATGGCAGATCGGAATATGCGCTCTCTGGGAGGATAATAACTGTAATTATTGTACCATGATAGAAGGGGCTGGCTTCTGTAACTGTGAGAAAAAGCAGAGTACACAGAGTGCACAACTCCCAACCAAAAACTCACCGAATAAAATGCTGTGAGTTTTATCTGAAGAAAAGTGTAAACAATTTTGACAGTTAAAACTCATTCTCACACTTCCTGAATCGCAAACTGAGGAAGTGTACACAATTTTCAGTGTACACTTGAAAACTCACAGTTACAGAATCCAGCCCCAAGAGTAGAAAAACAAAAATTTAGAAGTATTTTGTTTTCGCTTTTGCGGCGTGACAGTTCTGTATGAGTGTGGGTGAAAGGACAAACAAAATATTTCAATTTGTCATTCTAAGCCAGTGATTCCCAAAGTGGTCCAGGTGCACCCCCAGGGGTCCACGGGAGACCCGACAGGGTCTACGTTGACGTGAAAAAGTATGGGGTCCACAAGTTGTAAGTGAGGGTCCACGAAAATTCACCTGGTTTCGATAGTAAAGAACCAAAATGGTTGCTTAATAGCCTATTTATTTAACTTTAATGTATAGTTTAATGTATAGTCTTGACGCCCTGGTGAACTTACCGTAACTTTGTGTCATCATATGTGGGGAAGCCTTAAAGGCCACCTGCAGACTAAAAAGAAACGGATGTTGGTATAACACTGAGTGAGGCGATGCGTAAATTACCGGCGGCAGATATTGGAGCACTTGTGTCTTTTCAATGCTACAGGACGGTATGCCACCATTACCTTCGTTGAAGAGAGATAGACTTCCCTGAGGGGGAATGCAGATTTAATTCCTGCACTGAGCGCGCACTCGCATATTGTCGAACCCGTTTTGGAACTCCCCCGCGATGCAAAATTACATCGTTAGATTTAATGTTCTAATTTTTTGATGAATTTTGGGAATATGCTAGAAATGAGCATCAGGGGGTCCACCGAAACCAGTAAAGTTTTGAAAGGGTTCTACGAGAAAAATAAGTTTTGAAACCTCTGTTCTAAGCTGTGGGGCGAAACCCATACACAAAATCAGCTGATTTAGTAGCAACACCTTTTATAAATTCGCCTTGGTATTAATCATACAGATTTCAAGAGATAAGTCGAAGTTTAGACTTTTGAAGTTTTTTTTTTTGCTCAAATGAATACTCCTATTGTAAATTTATTTAATCCATAAACATAAATACACAAAAAATGCTTACATTGTTTGAGAATCTACTTATCGTAGCCCGCATAAATTAATGTCGTATGTTACATTTCACGCTCTTTGGTAAATCGCGATTGCAGTTTCGAATTCCTCAAAAACGTGACTGAAGATTTTCTCTTAAGTCTCAGAGAATGTTACTAATTCGCGAGTTTTTCACCCTTTCTGGTTTTTGTTGTTTATTATTATTTATTTTTGTGTTTATGAAGGATTTTCTTTAGTAGAATTTTGTCATGTGTTGCATTTGGCCACTATTTCCCACGAATGTTGTATTACATACATTCAACGAAATATGATAAAAAAAATTTACTAAATTGACAATAAAATTTTACTCAACGCCATTTGAAAGACCTTCATTAGTTTAGAAAAACTGCATTATTAACTCAGTTTGGTACAATTCTCACATACGACATTCATATATTTGATATAAGCCATAATGAAATACTTCAAAGATGTATGATTTCTATAAATTAAAGAGGCAACTTAAAAAAAAACTCCTCCAAAGGCCTTCTGAAGTACGTCCTTTAAAAGCCCTTCTGGAAGGGCTTCCCTGTGTAGAAAAAAAGAAGAGGTCACTCCATATAAAAAAGAAAGGAAAAAGAAATGTAGAGTGGAAGGTCCACTTGACTCTCAGGAAGGCCTTTCGGAAGGGCTTTTTTAACTCCTGAAATTATCTACTGGGATATGCCTAACAGTACAAATACATATACATACATACACACGCCAAAGTAATGCTGAACATCTTAATTTTTAAGTTTGTTTGTACAATTTTAATCAAAATATGTTGTGATAATGATTAATTGACAATAAAAACCAAATGTTTACATTTTTCAAATCTAAAAATAATTGATGACTTAACTTCGAAGAAATTTTGGGAACATTTCATTATAATCATAGATGTTGTCCGATGTGGGTGATTTGTTATGAATGTACATATGCCATTCTCCCACAAGCCCACATCGCGCAACTAACTAACCAAAACATCAAACAACCAACCACCCATCAAGAGAACCAATTAGTTTTTAAATCATGCTCAGAGACCAGAAACAGTGTTTTGTTGTCACTCAATTGTCTCTTTGTTTGTCCATTCGTTTGTTCGCTACACCGTTATACAGTTCAT